CCTGGGATTTGGGTGGCATCGGAATTCCCGGGATTTGAGGGTGGTCGGAATTCCTGGGGTTTGTGGGGGTTTGGAATTCCTGGGATTTGGGGGGGTTTGGAATCCCTGGGATTCGGGAGGGGATCAGAATTCCCAGGATTTGGGGTGGGATCAACATTCCCAGGATTTGGGGGTGGCCAGAATTCCTGGGATTCGGGGGGGGGGAGGTGGTTGGAATTCCTGGGATTTGGTGGGATCAGGATTTGGGGGGGGAATTTTGGAATTCTCGGAATTTGGGGGAGATTGGAATTCCTGGGATTCAGGTGGGATCGGAATCCCCGAGATCCGGGAGGGATCGGAATTCCTGGGATTTTTGGGGGTTTGGAATTCCCGGGATCCAGGGTGGGATCAGCATTCCGGCACCCCAAGGACGATTCCTGGGGATCAATGGGAAACACAGGAGTGGGATCGGGCATGGGATCGGGAATGGGATCCGGGAATGGGATCCGGGATGGGATCGGGGATGGGATCAGGGATGGGATCAGGGATGGGATCGGGAATGGGATCAGGGATGGGATCCAGGATGGGATCGGGGATGGGATTGGGAATGGGATCGGGGATGGGATCCGGGATGGGATCCAGGATGGGATCGGGGATGGGATCGGGAATGGGATCCGGGGTGGGATCGGGATGATCCAGAGGCTCGGGATCCCACTGGATCCCATTCCCGATCCCGCTGGATCCGCAGCCGGTGATGCAGGTGACCTGGCACCCCAAGGGCGATTACTGGGGATCAGTGGGAATGGGAAACACGGGAATGGGATCAGGAATGGGATCAGGGATGGGATCAGGGATGGGATTGGGGATGGGGATGAGGATGAGGATGATGATCCAGAGGCTCGGGATCTCACCGGATCCATTCCCAATCCCGTTCCCGATCCCATTCCGGATCCGCAGCCGGTGACGCAGGTGACCTGGCACCCCAAGGGCCATTCCTGGGGATCCATGGGAATGGGATCAGGAATGGGATCAGGGATGGGATCAGGAATGGGATCGGGGATGGGATCAGGGATGGGGATGAGGATGAGGATGATGATCCAGAGGCTCGGGATCTCACCGGATCCATTCCCAATCCCGTTCCCGATCCCACTGGATCCACAGCCGGTGACGCAGGTGACCTGGCACCCCAAGGGCGATTCCTGGGGATCCATGGGAATGGGATCAGGAATGGGATCGGGAATGGGATCGGGGATGGGATCAGGGATGGGGATAAGGATGAGGATGATGATCCAGAGGCTCGGGATCTCACCAGATCCATTCCCAATCCCGTTCCCGATCCCACTGGATCCACAGCCGGTGACACAGGTGACCTGGCACCCCAAGGGCCATTCCTGGGGATCCATGGGAATGGGATCAGGAATGGGATCAGGGATGATCCAGAGGCTCGGGATCTCACTGGATCCCATTCCCGATCCCGCTGGATCCGCAGCCGGTGACGCAGGTGATCTGGCACCCCAAGGGCGATTACTGGGGATCCATGGGAATGGGATCAGGAATGGGATCAGGAATGGGATCGGGGATGGGGATGAGGATGAGGATGATGATCCAGAGGCTCAGGATCTCACTGGATCCCATTCCCGATCCCATTCCGGATCCGCAGCCGGTGACGCAGGTGACCTGGCACCCCAAGGGCCATTCCTGGGGATCAGTGGGAATGGGATCAGGAATGGGATCAGGGATGGGATCAGGAATGGGATCAGGAATGGGATCGGGGATGGGGATGAGGATGAGGATGATGATCCAGAGGCTCAGGATCTCACTGGATCCCATTCCCGATCCCATTCCGGATCCGCAGCCGGTGACGCAGGTGACCTGGCACCCCAAGGGCGATTACTGGGCCTCGGTGCAGCGCAATCCCGGCGGGCGCCAGGTGCTGATCCACCAGAGCAGCCGGCGCCGGAGCCAGGATCCCTTCCGGAAGAATCCCGGCCGGATCCAGTGCGTGCGATTCCATCCGCTCCGGCCCTACTTCCTGGTGGCTTCCCAAAGATCCGTGCGGATCTACAACCTCCTGCGCCAGGAGCTCACCAAGAAACTCCAGAGCGGCTGCCAGTGGATCTCCAGCATGGCCGTGCACCCCGCAGGTGCGGGATCCGCCGGGAAAAGCGGGAACGGGATCGGGAATGCGGCGGGATCGGTGATTCCCGGTTTTTATTCCCAGGGGATAACGTGATCTGCGGCAGCTACGACAGCAAATTGGTTTGGTTCGATCTGGATCTGTCCACGAGGCCCTACAGGACGCTGAGGTGACATCCCGGATTTTCCCGCTTCTTATCCCGGATTTTCCTGGGTTCTTATCCCGGATTTTTCCGGGTTGTTATCCCAGATTTTCCTAGGTTGTTATCACAAATTATCCCAGATTTTCATGGGTCGTTATCCCGGATTTTCCTGGGTTGTTATCACAAATTATCCCGGATTTTTCCGGGTTGTTATCCCGGATTTTCCTGGGTTGTTATCACAAATTATCCCGGATTTTTCCGGGTTGTTATCCCGGATTTT